AATATCTATTTCTAGTCATAAAAGCTCCACTAACTAGTACAATAACATTCAAATTAAAGCACAAATTAAAGTAGTAACATTTACAGAGATATCATAGAATATTTGTTTTGTGGCTTGGAAAGACCAGCTATGGGGTCATTTGAGGTGGGTTTTTTAAAAACATGAAGATATGTTAATGGATTGTTACAGTTAAATTTGCTTCACAGAAAAAACAACATTCTGCTGTGGGCAAAAACAGAAATACGGGAAAATTCTCTTCTGTCTCAAGTGAATTATTTCTGGTGAAAGGCTTCTCAGCGTTTTGCTACAGGCATGCAGCTTTACACACAGAACATTATGCATGTACACAGACAGTGCTCTACTGGGGGTGTCTAGCCTGATGCCCTCCCCTATACCCAGATCCCCCAAAAGCTATTTACAGAAAATAAAGGAAAAACACGGATTCGGAAATGAAAATAAACCCCAAACCAACAAACACCTAATATATCAGCACAGAAAAACAAGTTGATAAGGAAAAAAGCAGCTTCACTCAGTACATCTCAGCTGCTCCCAAAGCAGAAAGCAATGGGGACGTACTGCTATTATTAGCCCTCCGGATGGGAAGCAGCACGGTGTGGAGCTGTTGGCAAGACGTCACAGGATTTTCTTCACATGTATGCACAGGCACAGACACACAGACAGACCCCCCAAAACGCTCATGGCGAGCCCCTTCCCACCACTCGGGTCAGACAGACAGACAGAGAGCACGATGCCAGCGCGACTGTGCGTACTCACAGCTCGGAGTACAAGAAGTGCAGGTTGCCCACATTGTCTATGTAGTTTGCAGGACTTAGCCAAGGTAGGACCAGTAACAGGAGAGCCTTCATTTTCAGTGCAGTGCTGGCACTGCTGCTAGGTTTCCTCCTTCCCACCGTCTCTCTGTGCTGGTGGGACACACAACGAGAAGCTTTCGTGCCAGCCAAGCCCCTTCTAAGCAAGCCTTTCCATTTCAACGCAATGGTAGCACATTATGAATCGAGCTTAAATCCCTGAAATGAAGCTACACTGCAAAAATCATTGACCTGTAAGAGGATTACTCGATCTGACTCTCAGATGGGTAGATGTGAGGGTTTAGGGACAGCACAGCGTGGTTGGCGAGACAGTGACTTATGCTGCAGAGGAGAGCGATGCTCGGGGAAGAGACCTGCCTCCTGCAGGATTCAGAGTGGTTCTTCAGAGGCAGCTGGTATGTTTACATCACTGCCCACAAGCAGATGGGTTATGAGCTAAAATGCATCACGGAAGGGTGTAGCTGTCTGACAAGGGAGGGGAAAAAAATGCCCCCTGTGGAGTTTTGTAGCAGGCGATATCAGAAGACCACACCTTTTTAAAGTAAAAAACTGCAAAAGATCACAGCCAACTGCTGGCTGTTTGCATCTCAGTCTGAATTCCCCAAATCCAGTCAGATGGTTTTGTACAAACATAAATCTTGTAATAATCCAAGGACATGTCTCTTCTCAGGGTTTTTTTTGAAGGATGCAACAGCAAACATTTTAAATAAGGATGCTTTCAGTGGACTGCTCCATGGTAACCAGTGTTTAAAAAAAATGGTAAAGTTCTCTCATCAATTACAAAGCATAAAACAGCAAGCTCACCTTGTTCCATCAGTGACCTCATCTCTGATCAGGGCAAACTTTTGTTTTCTTTCTGAGAACCAGGATTGGTCTGAACCTGAATAATGCAAGTAATGTGAGGACTGCTGACCACGCTGGTGACCCTAGCAGTCTACTTTTATTTATTCACTGAGAACACAATAGTGTTCTGTGGAGATGTCAGGTGGGCTCTGAACTGTTCTCAATGCAGACATCAAATATTTATGATTATTACTGATTTTTTTTAATTATAAAAATCACACATTTTCCCTTCCCTCTATTGATTCACCAGAATTAAAGAGAACAGCATCAGCTCAGTCTGTTTAATCTGTCCCTGGGCATGACAGAGCACAGCATCCTTCTCTTTACTATTAATGGGAGATGGGGTAGCAAGAGAGGTTTCTGCATTTCCAAGAATTAAAGGCATAAGAACCTCAGGTGATGAATTAATGCTGTGCTTAAAAAAAAAACAAAACAAAACAAAACAAAACAAAAAAAAAAGGTACTGTGCAGTGTCGGCAAGAACAAGGATGTAGAAGTCCACCTTTAAGGATCACTCAGAATGTTCCCTCCTATTTCTTCCCTCAAGTGGGAATGCTAGTGGGGTTGCAGTACCTATTCCCTGTAAAACTGAAACACCCAACAGCAGAAGTTCCCTGTGGTTTCCTATTCTCCCTTAGACCTTAAGGTAACTCAGCACTCCCAACCATTCTGAGGGAAGAAAATCCATGTCATGAGTAGCAAAGAAGAAAAATGTCCAGCCTATGTAGCAATGCTACATTAGAGGCTTTAGGGTAGGAAGACCCTACTCTATCTCTCCAGTCTTCTGCTCCTGGAGTTTGCAACCCTGGGGCCTGGTGAAGGGAACCTGACACAGGGAAGAGAGAACAGCAAGAGATGGTGGGAATATGTTACCAAGACAATTCTTTCTATCCCTGCTTGGGCTCAGGCCAAGCAAGCCAGAAGCACAAGATCTTGAAGATCCTGAGGGGAAGATCCAGGCCAAGCCACTGACATTCAACAGGAAGAGCTAGAATAAAACTTGCCAGGCCTTTACAGGACCAAATAATTGTTTATAGCACTGCAATTCTGTAAGATATGTAGTGAAGGATACTTTTTCTACCACCTTAAGGAAAAGACACTAAGAGACAGGACAGCACATATCCACATAGGAAAATCAATACTAGAAATCAGAAGTTGTGCTGGCTGTGTGGATTCCATTCAAAAACCAATATTCCAATTTGCTTATTTACTGGGGACTGTAAATTGGGGTAAATTGGGAATGGGTATCCTGCTAATTTTATGGCCACAGCATCATCATGTCAAAAAAATGAAGACAAACGGAGGTCTAAATCACATTACATTCAGCTGTATGTATAGCAAAGGGAAAGGACATTTGCACTAGGGGCTCAAGATTTTGTGGTTGGAATCTGTAGAGAAACACAAATTCAGTGACAGCAGCTCACAGAAGACTGACAGTCCCCTTATCTGCATTTCTGTTGAAATTAACGTTTGAGGCCTGTTAGAGAAGTACTGACCTAAGACAGGAAATTATGAGCAACTTATTTTGTCCCCTTAGCCAACGCAGTGGAACTCCCAGAGCACTGGTGGCCTGGGCTGGGGCCTGCTGCCACTGCCTCTTGCACCATGAGCCAGAAGCACCCTCGCAGGGAAAGCCAGGTCCAGAAATGTGGGGACAAGGGCACCCAAATCCACAAACACCAAACCTCCAGCATGTGAAAAGTGGTCTCATGACCTTCTCAAGGGATTAATAAACCCATCCCTAAAGTTTCTGGTTTTTTTTTTTTTTTTTTTTTTGGTTTGTTTTTTTTTTTTTTTTTTTTTTTTTATGCAAAATC